CAATATGCGTTTTTGCTGCCTGTTGCAGCGCTCTAGCGCTGCACGGCAAAAACGCATAAAAACCACAAATATGGGGAACAGAAATTGGAAAAGATGATAAAACGAAAATAAATCCATTGAAGAAATGCGCGAATAAATATTTTATCATTTGCAAGGCAATCGCCAGTTTTTTAGATTGAAATTACAGATGAGGCTGGATATTTCGACCCATCGCGATACGCACACTCTACTTCCGGATCACAGCTTGACTCCATTAATGTTTCAAAAATATCAAGACCGCCCGGAATCTAGTGTTGGGATTCTACAATGACTACATCGAGCATGGGGAAGTTCCCCTTCCCCATGCTCGGCACAGTTATGCAACGCCCTTCCGAAAAGGAATGACCCCATCAGATGTTCACAGGCACAGTTAAAAGCTCGAGTTATTAAATATTTTAATATTTTATGAAGTTGGCTTTCCATTGCAGAAGTAAAAATTTACATATGCTGCGCTTTCTCGAAGGCAGTTTTCGTGATACGCATGTTCGTCATCAACGTTTCCACAACTCTGTTTGCAAATGCTATAGCTTCTTCTTCCGTGACTGAACTATTTAACCTGGAAAAAAGAATGCGAGTGATCCTAAAACAGAAATATTCTTCTGTTACAAAATAAGGTACCACAAAAACCTGAAGATTGACAGCTAGCGGAATTGAATTTAAATTTTAGTTATCATGCCAAGATGGCTCGTTATTGTTGCTTAATTATAAATCCTCAAAAATTTTGCTAAAATATGCCACGAATATTTCTCCATAAATACAATCCATACTTGCAAAAAAGCACTACTTTTAACTTTACTTTGCAAAAATATTTAAAAAAAAGATGATCTGAAATCAATTACTGTGTATCACTCGCATGCACAGTAAGAGCAAAAATAGTGGAAGCTTTTTCCTTTCACGTTCGTCAAAGAAGCGCTTTAGCGTGTAGGAAGAAGGGCGTTCAAAATTTAAGCACATATCGAAGGACCTGATATAGCTACACTCAGTGAGAAAAAGCATTTCATTAGCATCGCTGACATGGATTCACATTTTGAATGTTTCGTAATCGTAGGAATTTCATTATGAACAAAATTTTATCAAAAAGAAGAAAAATCATTTTACTTCAAAAAGAAAAAATCATTTTACTAAAGCGGTGCAAACGAAATAGCTACAAAACTAGCTACGCAGTGAAATATTGCGTTAAGTAGCAAATATGCAAATGCCGTATTTACGGAAAAATTTCATTACTTTTGGCAAAAACAACGAGAGCATCATTTTATTTTGCGATTACTACACGCAAGTTATCATCAGTATGTGACCCAAAAATGGCGTGTTTCCTTATAAATGAAACCTTGTTTAAGCAAGTAAAGCATCTATGTGTTCAATTTGCCTGCCTAAAGAAATGTTGAGAAGCCAAGGAAAAGAAAAGCTTGCCGATGATACTGGTGGTCCCACCCTGTACCCAGAAACACTGAATATTAGCGTATCAATCCTGTGCTGTTTGATTCCTTTCCTTTTTTTAACCAAATACATGCATGCTTAATGAGCAGATGTATAATATTGTAACTGACCTGAACTTTGGTACTGTAACCTGAGATTGCAAAATTTTCTCACACTCCTCCAGAAGATAGTTCTGTGATTTCTGTTCGGCCGGTCTAATGAGCTGCCTGGCGACGTGTCTTCTATTATTCGAGGCATCATCCAGTCTGAAAATCCAGCGGCAGTATTCAGAAACTGTTATTTGATTGTTCAGTTAAGCCGTTGGGACGTAACGGCACCTTAATTAAACCGCTGAATTATATAATTTCTCGTAAAAGAGTCGGTTCGAGATGGAAAAATTGGTCTAAGTGATGCAGCTGTACCTGCCTGACTATGCATATTCTAGATAACTTTGCATTCAGATGCAAATTTGAAAAAGCATCTTATCCAGTTAATTCCCAAACATACTGCAATTTCGAATGGGAATAGCACTGAGGGTAAAAGGCCCCCAATCCAAAGCAGAGCTGTTGCTTCGAATGTTCTGAGCAAGCCGATCTACAACTTGCTAGTTCATTGTGTTTAAACTAATGCTGAGTGGAACAGAAAACCACATCATCTCTTGCATGATAAACGCCGAAAGGGGCAACCAATGAATGCCTTGCAAATATATCATTTGGAAAAACTCAAGTGAATCGGCCTTCCAAAAACAGAAAAAATACACAAGTGATTTTGACTTTGTCTCTTAGACTGAAAATCAGCCCCTCAGCAATTTTTAAGTGACTCCACAGCCCACTGCACTTTTTATTTGCTTTTAGCATCTATGCAATGCAGAAAACGCATATTGACGAATGGTTGTCTGTGTGTGGATCTGTGCCGATTTTTCATCTCAAGACCTATAAAAGCTACAGGGTTGAAACTTTGGGAATTTAATCTACACGCACGTACGGACCCCAATCCCCAAAATTGGCACTCTTATCCGCGTGGCACCCACATACGGCCCCACCAAAGTTTTTCACAGGCAAGCTGCTAACTCGGGAACCAGAAAAGCTACGAAGCTGAAATTTTAAGGGGATGTTCCCCATCCATGTAGGTATTAATGCGCTCAAATTCAGCCCCCGAGTACGCGTGGTTCTCACTTACAGGCCCGTGAAAGTTTTATGCGGGTAAATTACTAATTCGGGAAGTAGGAAAGCTAGAAGACTGAAATTTTAGAGAAATGCTCTGGCGGCCAGTCTCAATTTATTTATTTAGAAGCATCTGCTGGAAAAAACTGTGCCGTTAGCGACAAAAATCTGCGAGTAACTGTGTAAAAAATAAATTTTCGTATTGGCAGTCGGTGCGCTGGCCATTTATTTCCACACTAGTGTTAAGATGAAAGGAAGAAATATGTCGCGTCGCCTTCTCCTTTTAAATAAATTTTTTACCTCAAAAATTTTGTCGCAGCTCAAAAAACTTATAAACAGACAATACCCAGCAAAATGCAGACATAAGTGTACAAATTACTGTCATCGTTTGTTTCCAAGAAAGTAAAAATATAGCGCTTACATAGCAAATTTGGTAAGGAACTGCTTTGAGGAAGTGACAGCAACGAAGGCTATGTGCTGTTCACCAAATGTGCTGGGCACACCACTGACACAAATCCCGCACTCATCGCTGCTTACCATAACAGTGGTTGCCATTGTTATGCAATCTTCCGACTCCGAGGTGCTGCCAACCACACAGAATACATGCTGCAGTTTTGAATCCAACAAATCGCTTGAACATTTTTCAAAACTAAAATAATTGAAATAATATTTGTAATAATAACATCACATTCCTTGCAAATTAGTTCGTAGCTTCTCTTGCTGAATGCACTGGTGATCCGGGCATCCAAAATTTTAATTTTTATGCGTTTTTTGTAGCAATGCAATGCAAAAAACGCATATTGACGAGAGGTTGTCTGTATGTCTGTGCATCTGTGTGTGCTTCTGTCACGCACTTTCATCTCAGGACCTATAAAAGCTGCGAGGCTGAAATTTCGGGAACTTAATGTACATGCACGTACCGCCCTCAATTCCCAAAATGGGCGCCAAAACCTCCGTGGTACTCGCGTACGGGCCCGTCAAAATTTTTTTGGGATCAAATCATAACTCGGGGATCTGAGAAGCTAGAAGGCTGAAAATTTGGGGTAATGTTCCCCACCCAAGCGGGTACTAGTGGGCTCAAACCTACCCCCCGGGTAAGTGTGGTAACCACATACGGGCCCGCCAAAGTTTTTTCCGTGTAAATTGATAACTCAAGTACCTGAGAAACTAAAGGAATGCAATTTTAAGAGGATATTACCCCGTCCACCTAACTTCATTCAGCACCCAGCTCTCAGGTATGCCTGGTAAATTTTGTTCCAGTAAGTTGCTAACTCAGGTGCCAGGGAAGCTAGAAAGTTGAAATTTTAAAG